TGGTCCTGGGCGGAGGCGGGAGCGGGCGCCTGCCCTTCCAGAGCAGCAGCAAGAGATGAATAACTTAGGGAGACCCCTGTCGCAGCACTGTCACACCATGTAGTCACTTCGTTGTGTCCTCTCCCGAGGGGTGGCAGGTCCAGCGGTGGCATCCCGAGAGTCTGAAGCATTGCCGTCTTTACCTTTTGTCTTCTTGCTTGGGTGGGTTTATTTTTATGGTGTTTTTTTCTCATTTGTCTTTTTTTTGGCCTTTTTTTTTTTTCTTTTTTTCTTCCTGTGTGTGTCTGTGTGTTTTGTCTTTTCGGCCGGGCTGGGAGTCGGCGGGGTGTTCTTGCTCGCTCTAACTTTCCACCGAAAACTGGGCCGGGGGCCGGCTGTATGGCCCCCCAACCCTGGGACGAAGGAGCAGGGCATGGGAAGAAATCTTTCTTATCCCAGATACCAGGACTGGGCGGCCCAACATGGATACACAGAGAAAGGGAGAAAGAGAGAAACTGGGGTCAGGCTCTGCCACTGCCCACACCCACATCGGCCTCACCCACCTCCCTGTTACCTGTGACCTGTCGCCCCCATCCCAGACCTGACATCACCTGCTGGGTGACCCTGGACAAGTGACTTCACCCCTGAGCAGAGCTGCTAGATAAAACACAGGAGTGAAATCTGAATTCCCTATAAACCTTTTAGTATAAGTATATCCTGTGCAACTTTTGGGATACTCTTACACTAAAACAGAAAAAAAAAGTGTTAATCCTTCATTTATCTGGAATTCAAATCTACTAGAGCACCTTGTAGTTTTGTTTGCTGATTCTGACAACAGGGAACTCTGGGCCTCTTGCTCTGAGTGTAAAATGGGCTGGGGGTGGATGTGGTCTTGCTTTACCTCCAAGTGAATCTTATGGAGGCACTGTGACCAGGACTGTTTCCTTTTCGTTTTAAACATTCTCCCATTTAATGATGCCCCCAGAACCCCTGTGAAGGAGGGATCACCCCGTTTTGCGGTGGACAAAACTGGGCTCAGAGAAGTCAAGTAATTTGGGACCATCCCATCGCACTGGCGCTGTGGCTCCGAGGCCCCCACCCCCAGGCAAGTTCAAGTTCATCTTGGCCATTACCTCATGTCTGGTTTCCACTGGCAACCAGACAGACGCTGGGCGTGGCCCTCCCTAGTGGTGGCGGGCCTCCCCTTGGCCCTTCCTCCCTCCTTCCTCCTTTCCGAGGACGGCTGCCAGGCTCTGGCCCCAGTGTTTGGGGTGGTGGAGGGGAGGGCACCCTCAACTCAGTATTTTCCCTCTCATCTGAGGGGGAAACTGAATCAGCACAGTACCAGGGGTGAGTTCCAGGCTCTGGCAACTCTCTGGCCTGGATGGGGCCTCCAGTGTGGCTTTGGGCACATGGTGGCTTAATCTCTCCGGCCCTTGGTTTACTCATCTGCTGAACGGGCGTGATGGGCTCTTGGGCAAAAAGCATTTGGTGTAGTAAAATGCTCAGCCAGGGGGATCCCATCACACATGGGAGGGGGCAGGGTGTCAGAGCCCCCGGAACTCCCTCTGAGGGCAAAAGTGACGGATGGCTCAGGGCTGGGGGGATTGATGGTGAAAGACAGAGAGTGGGGGGTTATGGCGAAGCAGGGTAATTGACCAGGGGACCTCAATGGACATTGATCAGATGGAGGGGGCACTGATGGGGGAGGGGATACTTATCAGGGGGAGGGGACGCTGATATGGGGGAAGGCAGGAGATGGAAGGGTGCACGGAGAGGCACAGAAGCCACTGCAGGCTGGGAGCAGAGGTGGGGGCTAGGGGAGGCAGAGGAAAGCAAACCTGCCAGGAATAATGAAGGCTGAGGCAGAAGTGCTGACTGGGCCAGAAATGAGAGGCCTCTAAGCTCTGAGGCCTTTGTGCAGGGGCTCTGAGAGGGGGGAGCAGGGTCTCACTCATGGCTTCCTCCTCCTCTCTTCTGCAGGGTTGGAGGCGCTGACCCTACCCAGGGACTAGGGTGCCCTTAGTCCAGTGACCCGGGGTCCAGCCTATGCAGTGCCGATGGGGTTTCCCCCCAGACCTGTCCTCCCTAGTCACCCATATTGGGGGCCTCACCTTCCCCATAACCCAGGCTCCTTGGGAGTCTCGTTAATCTGTCACCTCCTTTCTGTGCCCCTACCAACACCACTCTCAGAAAGTTCTTTCCAATTCTCAGACCTGGTTGTGTCCCTCCCTCACTTTAAACCCTTCCATGGCTCTCATGGCCCCTGGCCAAAACCTGAGTTTGAGGTTTTCCATATCCCAGCTATTTCTCCATCACCTCCAGCCTTTGTCAGTGCCAAGCTCCTGGTGGGCACCCTCATCCTTCTCTGCCCGGCCAGCCTTTGCCACTAGGATCAAACCCCTCCCTACCCAGGCAGCACCCTGGAGGCCCCCCACCTCGGAGCTTCGCTAGCCCTGTCCCACCCTCTCTGGGTCCCCAGCGACCCCCTGTCCAAGAGGGGCGACGTGAAACATGTAGAAGCAAAGGTGCTGTCCTTGCCTGCCTCAGTTTCCCTCCTTCCAGGGTGTCCGCTTGGAGTAGTCTCCTCCTTGCAAAGGTTGACAATGGAGGAGGTGAGGTAGAGGGGTGCTGGGGAAGTGTTAAGCAGGCAGGGCCCCTCCCTGTCATTTTTATTAGCTTTGGTTTCTGAAGCAATCAGGACATTCCCAGCCTCCTGTGGGGAGGGGTCTGGGGTGAGGGGGTGGGGGAAGGGAACGCCTGGCTCCCTGAGCACTGGAGGGGCAGGGGTGTCCACACCTCCAGGACTTAGAAAGGGTGGCTGTGGGGGGCCCAAAACACAAAGTGGGGAGTCCTAGGGCCACCTTGGCTTGCTGGGTGACCCTGACCAAGTGAGGCCTCTGGATTCTGGCTGGGGCTCTAAAAGGCAAGATGCTTAATATTTGGGGCACGTGAGGGTGTGTAGGGTGGTCTTGGCCTTTCAGTGCCCTTTCTGGATGAAATTGGTCCCCTAACACTCCAGACCCTTCAAAGGCTCCCTGGGAGGTGCCCAAGGCCAGGAGAGACGGAGGTTCAGAGTGGGTAAAGCAGGGCTGGGTGTGAGACATGGGCCAGGAGGGAGAGGGATGGCCGGGCTCACCCCACACACTTTATACACTTTGAGCTGTAACCAGGCCTGCCTCAGAGGGTCCCCAGGAGGCCAAGCTGTGACAGGCAGTTCCATGGGCCTGGTCAGAATGGCTGATTCTGGTCTTAGCTGAGGATGGGACATGTGGTTACTTCTTTACTTCCTCTCCACCCCTGCCTGTAGACTCTGATGCAGGGACCTTCCCACAGTGGCTGAAGGGTCCAAACATGGCACCTAGGACCCCACAAATAACCCACGCTCTGTGGTTCTGGTGATTAGAAGCTGCTGGAGAGCCCTGCGCGGGTTTCTCTGTGCCTGAGCCTCAGACAGCCTGTAGGAACTGGTGCGGCCTTTGGGCTATTTTACATTCTGCAACCCCACCCCAACACACTGAGAAATGGGTGCTCCAGGGTCCAGCCACCCCCCTAGGACACTGATTGCCAACACACTCCCGGTCTGCACATGGCACAGATTCGGACCCTGACCTGAGATCAGGTGTCAGGGCACATGGGCTGTGGGCTGAGGCTACCTCCCACTCCACCAGAAGCTGGAAGCCAGTCTCAGTTCTGGACCCATAGGGGCTGTCCCCGACTACTGTGCAGCCTCAGGCAACTTACTCCTCCTCTCTGAGCCTCCTGGTCTTGTCCTCAGGTGGCCTTCCTCCCCCGACCCTGGGAAACGTTCAGCTGCAGTAATGCCAACTCTGCCTCTGCCGCTCCTGCCCTGCCTTGCAGGCTGGAGTCTGGGGTGGGGGTGTGCATGCTTTACTGAGTGACCCACCCCTACCCCCCCGCCGCCACAGGCTGCCTCACATTCCCCTCCTGCTCCTGGCATTCTGGAGTCCTCTGCCACCCCCAGCCCTCTTCCATGGTCCTGCTGGCCGGCGGCATGGAAAGGGATGAGGGCTGAGGGGTTGACATGCTGTGTGATCCTGGGCAAATCCCCTTGCCTCTGAGGGCCTCAGTCTCCCCATCTGTACAAATGGGCCTGGGGTGGCAAGAGCCCATGAAGGTCTCCCAATAGGAAGTTGTAGGCAGGGTTTTGGGCCATGGCTATATTCGAGGCTCTGGAAGGGTATGGGAGGCTGGTCCCCCTGCCACACTTGACCACCATGCTAGGGGTTCAGCGGGGGAAGAGGATTGGCACGGGATCCAGCAGGCTGGCCTCTCCCTGTGCGCCCAGGCCAGCCCCTCTGCCCTGGACCTCCCTTCCCCCCACCAGCCGGCCTATCGGCCCCTACCTGTGCCTGATAAATGCCCGCTGGATCCCTTGGTCCTAATCCCACATAGGAACGGTTTGCAGGGGACGTGCCGGGCGTAGAGTAGGCTGCAGGGAGGAGAGAGACCGAGAGCCCGTTAGAGAAGGGGGCCGCGTGGGAGCACCCAGAGAGGGTGGCCGCTGCCCAGGGTCAGAAAGAACCCAGCGCCCTCCCCAAGCCAATCTGGGCACCCAGAAAAGCCCACAGTCGTGGGCCCCTGGGGTCATAAGGGAGGGGCATCTGCTGGGAGCAAAGGCACAGGATGAAAGATTCAAATTCAGAAACCGCCTGTGAATTACTCAGGGTATTCCACTACCTGGTCCATCCTGCAACCGTGGCCTTGCATCCCACACGGGGCGCCATCAAATATTGAGGGTGTTTTATTTATTAATTTTCCTCCTAGAGAGGCATGGAAGGCTGGGTGCTTGCATATACACACACACACACATATATATATATATTTTAGTCTCACCAATTTTGTTGGTAAGTGAATAATTCACAGTTGGGTGCCGCAGGGGGTCAGGGGTCTCAGACAGGCTGGGACTGGGGTGGTGGGAGGGTCCCCACATTGTCTCAGTCAGGGTGGAGGTAAGTGGAAGGCGGTGAGGATCGGGGGCTATGGGGAAGAGCAGGGTGGGCTTACAGTGAAGAACCCAGTGCAGGGAAAGAGAGGGAATCCATGTTTACTCAGTATCTATTGAGTGTCTATTTGTGCGCCAGGCACTGCGCATAATCCCATCTAACACTCAGCAGTCTCAGTGAAGTCAACGTAACTGTCCCCATTCCACAGAAGAGAAAGTAGAGTCGGTGGTCACCAGCGCCACACACTGACTCTACTCTGCACCTGACAACACACTAAGTGTTCTCCCTGATCTACTTGTGCCACTCTGTTCTATGAGTCTGGTACGGTGACTGTCCCATTTTTTGGCTGAGAAACTGAGGCTCAGAGAGGGGAGGACATTTGCCCAAGATCACACAGGGAGAGCTGTAGCGGCTGGCTTTGAACCCAGCATCCACCACTGCATTTGGTGTTCAGACACTGTCCCTCTGTACTGGAAGCTGCCCTGGGTCTTGGCAGGCAGTGGATGCGGTCAGGGGAGGGGAAGGAATGCTGGGGGCAGGGGGTGCTGCATGCAGGGAAGGGGGCCAACAGGGCCCAGAAGGAACTGCTGGCCCCTCCTGCTCAGGTGGGGTGAGGAGTTTCATTTGGGGAATGAGGGAGAGAGCCAGTCAAAAAGCGGGTAAAGGGCAGAATGAGATGGTGGGGAAAAGTCTGGGGGCTCTGAGACTGTCTGCCCAGGGCCCCTGATTGGGGTGGCTTGGCCTGAGAGGAGGCAGGATGACACTCTGGGTGCTAAGGCAGGTGGCCCCAAGCAAGGCAGCCTGGAAAAACATGGATGGCCTACCCAAGCCTGCTCTGGGGTCCAGGGAGAGACTGGGCATAGAGCCCCCATTGACAGGGTAGACCCCAGTATGGGAAATCTGGGAGCAACTTCCCAGCCTGAAGCAGCCCTGGATGGGGGGAATGCACTGGGAGCCAGTGAGCTGTAATCTGGAGCCACATCCAAAGGGTGGAAACTTCTAGAAGGTGAAGAGACCAACCCATGGCCTTCTGCCAGGCTACCACCTAGAACCATGACTAGAAAGTGGAAGGTTGTAGAAGGTGAGAAGACCAACCTAGAGCTTTCAACCAGAGTACCGCCTGGAGCCACATCCAGAGAGTGGGAAGTTCTAGAAGACAAGGTGGCTCAATGAGGAATGAGGGCCTTCCAGGGTCAAGCAGGCAGGTGGGAATTGTCCCATCTATAGGTGTGGCTCAGCCCAGGTCACTGGCAAGAACACGGCCTACTTTTGTCCCCCTCCCCCAAGAATTTAGAACTCTGGAATTTTTATGTGAAATGTCCTGATTTGAACACAAGGACAGATTCTCACTTTCCACAAAGGGAATCTGGGGGCTGGGTAAGGCCCTTAGGCCACCAGTTGGAGATCTTCATCTATTGCCTGCTACTTTTTTGCACGGAGGAGGGCTTAGGGGTGCAGAATGGGCACATGGGGACTCCATGCCACTTGGCCAATCAGGGCAGACTGCAGACCTGCCCCTGCCATTTCCTAAGGCTGCTCTGCCCCGACCCTGTGACCCACCCCCCAGGCCTTAATCTGGGGACCCACCAAACTCGCCAGTACCCACCAGGCCAGGCCTGAGCCCCCTACCCCAGCAGTCGGGGAGGGGAGTGGAGGGGGCCCCTTAGGGACGCCCGCCCTGCCACGGGCACTGCTTCCCGAGTGCTTACAGGGCGAGGTCGGCGACGTGCTTCCTCCCTCGGAGGTGGGTTTGGTGGCAGGGGGGAGCACCAGCCGCGGCAGCCCGGGGGGCGGGGGTGCCAGCATCTGAGCAGAAAGGCAGTGACTGGACATTTTGAGCTGACCACTTCCATTTAACTGGGGGGAACAGAGAGACAGGTGGTTAAGGCGGCGGTGCCCCCTCACCTCGGGCTGCCGTCCTCAGCCTGCCTGGGGGACAAGGCTGGCATGTCCGGACGAGTTTGGTGGGTACTGCGGGCCCCGCAGACCTTTAGCATCCTGGGACCATACTGCCTTCATCTCCTCAAGTCACTTTGTATTCGCTCACTTTCCTTCCACGTCATGCCTCCTTGCCCTAAACAACATGGGTCCACCTCATGGATGGTCTGTAGGCTTTTCCTCATTACCAGGACCTACCATCCACCACCATGCCTGCAGTTCCAAAATCCGCAAAGCCCTGAACACTGGAAGCTTATTGTGGAAGTTTGGCAAAAGCCAGCCTGAGCTACAGCCATATGACGATTTGATTTCAAAGCACTTCATAAAATATATGCCGTCAATTCTAACATCTGAAAAAGCCTGAATGGATCCCCGCCATGCACAAAACCTTTTAAAATAGAGGATCCATGTCAGAGAGTCACCCGAGGCAGCCCAGGGCCCCAGGGAAGTTGTCTGGAGCCTTAGCATGGGCAGGGTGCCCTGTGGGGCGGAGGGGAGGTCTGGCCCCCCAACTCACCGGTCCAGGTTGCTGACTGGCTGGGTCACAAGCCAGCGAGACGAGATCTTTGAGCGGATCCTGGGGATTGAGGTGAGGTGGGTAGCGGATAGCCGTATGTGGGAAGTAGGTGGAGGCCGTCTGGGGCAGGATGGAGGTCGTGGGGAAGTGCAGAGCTGAGGATGGGTGAGGGCTCCGGGCGATCCCTGTGGAGATAGGGAGGGGATGGTCACCAAGGACTCAGGCCAGCTCACTCTGCTCCCTGTTACGTTAGTGAGTCAGGCCTGCATCTCAGTGCATTTAATAGTAATGACAGCAGCAAGACCTAGCAGTGCCTGACACAGGCCAGGCCATGTTGTCATTCACACGTCCAAAAGTGCTGACTTTCAGGGAAAACCTTTGGGGTTCTGGTGTCATCGCTTTAAAAAAAAAAAAAAAAAAAAGGCCGGCTGAGTGGTGCGTTGGTGAAGAGCTGGCTTGGGATGCCAGAGGGCCCCAAGTTCGGATCCCACATATGAGGGCCAGTGACACTGCCCTCTACAGCTAAGATGCTGAACAACAGCTCAACCTGGAGCTGGGCTGCCGTGAGTCGCCGGCGATGGTATAGGCTGCAGCCCCTGCTGCAGTGGGCTGCCATAAGCTACCGTGTGTGGCCGGCAGCCAGCATGAGCAGCCAGCAGCTGGTGTGAGCTGCCAAGAGCCGCTGTGAGCGGCCGTCCAGAGGCCGGTGACCGATCTGCCTCACCCAGGAAGAGTGCAATGATAATACCAACATGGGCCAGTGAAGCAACATCCTCTACAGCTAGACTTAAGAACAAAAGGACAGCAACTTGTCTGTTCCCCTCCCCCAATTCCCCAATAAAATCTTTAAAAAACAACAACAACAGAGAATGATGACATGGTGGCTTTCAGAGGTTATGTCCCCGCCCCAGGCCACACAGCAAGCAGGTAGGCGACCCAGGGTTCCAGCCCAGGCTGGTCTGGCCCTATGGCTCTTTCTGTAAAGGGCAAGGTGATCAATATTTTTAAATTTTATTATTGTTTTTTTATTTTATTGGGGAGCAGCCATGGTCATTGGTTACACATTGCTTTTCATGCTACAATGGCATAGCTGACTCATCTAAGGAGGGCGCAGCTCACAGTGGCCCATGCAGGGATCAAACCAGCAATCTTGGTGCTATCAGCACCCGCTCTAACTAACTGAGCTAACCTAACCGGTCACCCTCTAAATTGAGATATAATTTGCATACTATAAAATTCACCTTTTTAAAGTGTATAATTTTCTTAGCACATTCAACCATCACTATAATCTCTTTTAGAAAATTTTCATCATCCCCAAAAGAAGCCCACCACCCCCCACCCCAGCCCCTGGCAACTGCTAACCTACGTCCTGTCTGTGGACATGCCTGTCTGGACATTTCACATAAACGGAATCACACACTGAGTGGCCTTGTGTGTCTGGCTTCTCTCATTTAGCACCGTGTGTTCAAGGTCCACCCATGTTGTAGTCAGTGTCAGCGCCTCCCTCCTTTTCATGACCAAATAACATTTCATTGTGGTATTTGCTTTTTTTCTTTTTTTAAACAATTCAGTGATTTTTATTATACTCATTCTCTAATTCCAGAACATTCTCACCCCCAAAAGAAGCCCTGTGCCCATTTGAAGTCACTCTCCCTTCCTCTCTCTCTCTAGCCCCTGGCCAGATAAGAAACATTTTTGGCTTTTCAGGCCATAAGATCTCTGCTGCAGTTATTCAACTCTGCCATCATAGCCTGAGCGCTGCCTCAGACTAATGTAAATGAATGGGTGTGGCTGTGGGCCAATAAAACTTTACTTTATTTATAAGAACAGGCACCATGGGCTGTGCTTGGCCAGCCACTGGCCTAAACTACTGTGCTGTGTTGATTTTTGTCCACCTCCCTGTATGGACCTAAATCATTATCATCGTAACAATGGGGTAACGCAATCAAGAGCTTGCCATGACTTAACTCATTCTGTCCTAATGACAGCCCTGGGAAGGGAAGTCTCAACTGACAGGTGAGCACAGGGAGGGCCAGGTGCAGAGTGACTGGCTCAGCTCATACCCCGTGGTTGCTGGAGTCTGTCTCCCTCTGCTGTGAGTGTGACACTTCCTGTCCATGTGGCTGGGGGTGCCCCTGTATCACCTGCGTGGCCTGCCTTCTTCTGTGACCACCTGAAACCATTGTCTGTCTGTGGGTTGCTCAAGTGTGACATAGGGAAGCAGGCTGAAGGGTGAGCCACAGGCATGTGCACCTCCTTCTCATGCAAAAGGGGAAACTGAGGCTCACAGGGACAGTTAGGCACTGGTGCTTTCCACCAGGCACTTCCAGGCTTCCTTGCCCAGCAGGGAGGCTGTAGCAATGGGATATGAGGGGCGTGATCAGAGAGCCGGGCTGCCCCTCCCTGCCTGGGCCCTTGGTGCTCACCACTGTGCACGGCGATGACGGGCCGGTGGTGCTGGGTGAAGCTGGAGAGGCGCGGCGAGTCCTGGGGAGACGGGCTGTTGAACGGTGACTTGTCCATCTCTGTTTTCTTCACCGGGGACGAGATGCCTGTGTGGGAAGAAGCCTGAGGATCACAGGGCTGTGGGCACCCCTGGCTTCCCCGCAGGGCCCTGCCCCTTTCTCCCAGCAGCCTGTGGGCAAGGGCTGGGGGCCCATTTTATAGACAGAGCAAACAGGCTCAGAGCAGAGAAGGGGTCCATGGCCTTAATGCCAATATGGGCCCCTGATATCACAACCTGGCCCCCTACCTCCTCTCCTTCCAGAGACAGGTCCCCCCAGGGGATGCCAGAGCCCTGGAGAAGGCAGCAGCGTGAGCAGAGGGGAGGGGAGGGCCCTGGCAAGCTGAAAGGACACAGACAAGCCTCTGAGCAGCTGTACTCACATTCCCTCCACCTTACTGGGGGAAGGAAGAGAACCTTCCTTTCAGGGTCATCGCGAGGACTAAATGAGATACATGTAAAGCCATTAGACCAGAGCCCAGAGCACACCCACTTGCTGGAATTACTTGCTAATTGTCATTCCTCTTAAGACGGAGCTTCACTACCTCCCCTTCCCTGGCCCCGAAGAACCCTGACAGCTTAGCCCCCTTGTACCTTCCTGAATGAATGAATGAATGAATAAATGGTTTAAATGGGGAAATATAGAATCCATGGAGACCCCGGTACAGAGAGAACACTGGCTCATGATACAGAAGATGTACCATACCAGTACAGATGTAACACCAGTGTTAGGCACACATTAGCCGTGAAGAAACATGAGCGCCCCTTGCCCTCCACCCTGCACCCCCATCTTTGCCATCCTCTGGATATGAGAGCTAAGGATGGTGGTGAGCCCTCCAAAATGCAGAGTCCTGGGCCCAGCCCCTTTCCTGGAATTGGAATCTCAGGGAAGTGGGGCCCAGAGAAGGGTATATTTAGAAAGTATTTTAAATATTTATTTTAGGATGAAATGCACCCACTGAGGCCATGGTTAGGGGTTTGACTTTCCTGCCACCCAGCACAAAGTCCCCTGCTCCAGGGTCTGCTCCTCAGCACTGCTGACATCACGGCAATCCTGGGCACTGTGGGGTGCTGAGCAGACTCCCGGACCCCACCCACTTGATGCCAGGAGCTGCCCCCCATGTGACAACCACATATGTCCCTAGACATGGCCCAGTATCCCCTGCAGGAGGAGTCCCCCTGGTTAGAACCTCTTGCCCTCCTCTGAGGTATGCTGTCACTGTTTCTGGGGTCTCCTCCCATGGTTCTGTGGGTAGGCACCCGGACACGTGCCCCAGCCCTGTCCCACCCAGCATGCTGCAACACCCTTCCCCTCGTGGCATTTCCACATAGGGAGCTTCCTGTCCTAACAGCACAGCTTGGGGTGAACCAGATCTGAGAACCAGGCTCCCTGATGGCCACTCGGGCTGTTAACTGCTTTTGCTGTTACAAACCCCACTGCTCTAGATGGCCCTGAGGACGCACCATGCTGCGTGAGTGAGCATGTCCTGGCACGTGAGTTGGCAGGGTGGAGGGAGTCAGGGCCCATGCTTTCCCAGGAAACAGGAGCTGGTGGGACCGAGGACTACTGGCAGGGGAGGAGGCTGGTCCTGTGGGGATGGGGGTGGTGTGTGTGTGTGTGTGTGTGTGTGTGTGCAGGAGGAGTGGCAGGCTGCAGCAAAACGAGGTTAGGGCTGTCAGATGCTCACTTAGGAGGATTTCCTAGAACATCCTGTCCTGGGTGGAAATAGCCTGGTGTGGCCCCGCCTCCCAGAGCTTTCTGAGATGGGGCCTGCAGGAGCCAGGACAGATGGGAACCTGGCGGGCGATGCAAGAACAACCCTTTGTGCTCCCGGGCAGGCTCCAGAGGGCCCTGAGCATGCACCCCGGCATCTGGGCATCCCCCGTTTGTTCAGCAAACAGGCCTGTAATGCCCCAATTACAGAGGCACTGCTGTCCAGTCAACACAATGCCTGTATGTCCCCCATCTAAGCCCCTGCCTCTCCATTTAACCTGTAATATTGCCCCCATCTGAGTGGCCATCTTTTTCTCAACACACAAATCTATAGGTCCCCATCCGAGCATCCTGTATGCCCCCACTGAAGGTATGCACCTTAATGAACATGCATGCCATGCCTGTCTGTCCCCACTGATGCACATACTCTGCAATGAACAAGTAGGCCTGTATAGCTCTCATCTGAGCATCCATCCATTTGCACCACAAACCAGGCGTCTGCACTAGAATGCCAGCTCTACTGGGGAAGGAGTCCACTCTAGCTGACCGCTGGGTCTCCAGGGCCTCAGAATACATGGTCAGTGAGAGTGTGAGGTGAATGGATGGAGTGCTTAGTTCTGCTGAGACCAGCCATCGTTCAGTGAGCATTTACTATGTGTAAGGCCTCTCTCCCTTGGCACTGCAGGTACAGGGGCTGGGTCACTCTCTATGGGGCTGTCCTGGGCACTGTGGGGTGCTGAGCACTATCCCTGGCCCCCACCCACTCAATGCCAGGGGCATCCTCAGTCAGTCATGACAACCACAGATGTCCCTAGATATTGCCCAGTATCCCCTGGGGGCAGAACCACCCCAGTAAAGACCCTTTTCAAGGTCTTGGGCAGAGCACTCTGAGTCTGCTCTGATGTCATCCTCACAACTACTCCATGCAGGGCTTATAGGAATCACCCCCATTTCACAGATTTGGATACAGAGGCCTGAAGGGAGAAGTCACTTGCCCAAGGCCACAGAATCAACAAGTGGTGGAGCTGGGATTCAAACCTAACTCTAATTCCACAGGCCAGGATCCACCACCCCCTTTTGCCCTTCAAGTTCAAACAGAGACAGGGAAGGCGCCCCCCTCGCCCCAGGAGGGGGGGGGGGATTGCCTGCTTCACTATAATAACCACCTATATGTGGGCCCTATGCCCCCTGCAGGAGGGCTGCAGAAGCAGCAAAAGCAAAGCACCCTGTGAGCTGTGTAGAGGTTGCCCTTTTTCTGTCCTGCTTGGATGGGTAATCAAGGAAGGCCTCAAGAGACGGTGGCCAGAAGGAAAAAGGGCACTCCTGGCCCAGGAATGGAGGGGACAAAGGCATAGAGACTGGCTCATGAGGCTGCTGGGGTCTTGCCTGGGTGGGGCTGGCATGATACCCCCCAGACCTCTGCCCCTCCTAAGCACCAGAGTGTGGCTGTTGGGGGTGTGGGGTTAGCTAAGTGCTGCTCACAGTAGCCACAGCAGAGGAAGGGAGAGTGCTCTAATTAGCTTAACCCCCTTAATGAGCAGCTAATTGGGGGCTGTCTAGACAGGAAGATGGAGGAAGCCAGGCGGAGGAGAGAGAAGGAGGGGTAGGGTGAAGGAGGGAGAGGAGGCAGAGGAGACACAAATCCATCTCCCCCACTAGGCTGTGAGCACCTGCAGGGCAGGGACAGGCATACAATAGGGGTTTTGCTGAGGCTGTCACAGGAGGGAGTGAGTTTGCCATCACCCGAGGCAACCAATGGAAACTAAAAGGGGACAGGCCCCCTGTGACATTCCCTCCCAGCTCCAGGATTCCTCATCACACACGTGATGCTGGTACAGGTTTCCTCCTTGTCCTCCCCCAATGCTGTCACTCCATTCTCAGGGCAGGAAGGTCAGACCAAGCCCCAGTGACTTGCTCTAACACTTCCTTCCTTTTAAAGTTTTTTTTCTTTTTTTGAGCTTCCTAAATAGAAAGCTTGGTTCTTTTATTTCCAACTTTCCTCTTTTCCTAACCAATAGACTTAGGCTATAATTTTCCCTCTCAGGGATGCTGTGCTTACATCACGGAGGCTGTCTTTCAGCTCTAAATGGTATATACTTTATATGCAGACAGCCTCTTCAATCACAGAGTTAATGAGGAAAGCTTGTGAATACCAAATCAGTAAATGACAGGGCAGAAGTCTCCTAATATCTGTTCTACACTTCTTCTTTAGTTACAGAACCCTTACATTTGCCCCAAATAAGACTATAGTTCCCAGTGTCCCTCGGTAGCAGAGTATGTGGCCACATGACTACCTCAGGGGCACAGAGAGAAGCAGAAGAGGTAAGTGCATCTTTTGAGAATTATTCTCAAAAGGAAGAGGACATGCCCAGACTTGACCCTTTATTTTTCCTGCTAGCTGGAATGCAGATAAGAAGGCTGGAGCTCCAGCAGTTATCTTGGACCATGAGGTGGGACTGAAAACCACATTCAGTGGAGCATAAGGCAGGAGCTTAAGTCACTTACATCACACTTGCCCATGGGTCTGCTGATAGCTGGCCATTTACTTGTGAGAGAAATATACTCTCCTTTTGGGTTTTCTGTTTCTCACAATCAAACTTAAAGCTTATTGAATACAGAGTCTTTATAGAGACAAGCCTGACAGAGACGGGGAACCCACAGATAGAACTATAGACACTAAGACCCATAAATTAGAGACTAATAAATACAGACAGGTCCTTCCTGAGTTAGGTACCTTCTCTGGAAGCTCACACCATGGAAGAGGGAGAACACCTGGGACCTCAACTGTCAAAACCAGATGTGTTAGAGACTGATTCAAAGAGATGGGAATTTTATAGACAGGAGCAACAATAAACTCTCCTGTTTCCTTGGCACTTGTCATGTGCCAGACCATTGCTTTATGCACATTCTACCATTTCCTCCCTCTGACTTTCTGAAAGATGAGTTATCTCATCAGTCCCGTTTTGGATGAGAAAACTGAGGCTCAGAGAAGTAACCTGCTCAAGGTTACACAGCCCACACAGTGAGTCAAGGGCAGAGCTGGGATTTGAACCCAGGTCTCTATGATGCCTAAACCTGCCCTTTTTCATTGTTAACGTTATGTTGCTTTTTGAGAATCCTGTAGTTATAGCACTTTGTATAGGCAGATCTTTATAAAAAAGAGGGTTCTACAGGGATAGGACGGAGGAAGAGAGGAGGAGGGGAAGAGCAAAGGAGCAAACAAATCCCAAGGTTTACTGGGTGCTTATTATGTGCCAGGCCTGTTTTAGGGACATCAGATGTATTAATTCACTTACTCTCCACAAATCTATGACGTGGGTACTGTAGGTATTAACATCCGCATTTCACACATGAGGAAACTGAGGCTCGGAAAGGTAGGATCACCAGGAAGCTGTAAGAGCTGGTGGACTCCAGTCCACATTCGTAAGCACTAAGCTATCCAGTGGGGTGAACCCTTGATAAGGCAAAAAGGACTAGATACAGCAATGCTTCTAAAGTTGGGGGGCACAGACCCTGCTGAGAATCTGAGGAATGACAAGAATGCCCTCCCAGTGTAATGCAAGCCTGTGGGCCACTTCGCACACCATTTCCGGACAGTCACAGATGTGGCCAGCTAGAGAGCAGAACCTTAAGGCAAAAGAGATGAAAATGAGAACCACGGTGAATCTTAAGGCAAAAGAGATGAGACTGAGAACCGCAGTGGATATGGGGACCCCAAAGACGGGAAATCTTTGGAGAAAGCCCTTGGGGAGACAATATGTAAACAAAAAAACCCCAGGAGCTAGCGCTCAACAGAAAAGAGATTCTATTAAACTGCTGACACTACAGAAAAGGAACCCCACGAGAAAGAGTCTGGAGAGGACCCTGTGAAGACAAAACAGTAACAGAACAAAATCCCCCTGGCAAAAGGACCCTATGAGAAAAGAGACAGGGCTCCTACAGAACTGGAATCTCACGGGTAAGATCCCATTAAGATGGAATGTCGTAAATACAGGAACTCCACGGAGGACCCCAATAAGGGATCCTACATCTCAAGACTCTCTAGGGGGGGGGGTCCTTCTAGATGAGGTCTATGGCAGGCCCCAGAAAGAAGCACCCTGTTGATCAGAATCCCTGAGTCAATTCTGTGGATCAAGTACCGCACAGAGATGGGTTCCTCACAGGCAGAGGGCAGGAAAGTCGGGAAAGAGACAGACTGCGCCCTCCCGGGCCTGAGCGGAACCAAAAAAGCTCCGGGAACGTGAGCCCGGACTTTACTTCCAACCGCGCGCAGCTCGTGTAACTACAACTCCCAGGAGACCAAACGGTTTTTAGGCCCGCATTCTGCTCCCTGGCGCTCACGCAGTGCCTGCCGGAATACGTAGTCCCCGCCGCCGTAACCCCGACGGAAGGCCGGCTCCACCCCTTCACCCAGCCCCACCTCCTTCCATGTCCTCCGTCCAGTTTCGGCTGCTACTCGTGGGAGAGCTGGGTGAGGTGTAGTAATCACCGCTGGGGCTCGTGTCCACATCTTCCTCCATGGAGCCCGATTTGTGCCGCTTGCTCCTAAGGGGTGAGAGAAGCAGAGCACAGGCTGGTTACCACAGAGAGGCGGGCGGAGGCGGCGGGCTTTGCTAACTTCCGGTCCCTAGAGGGTGGGGCGAGAAGAGTGCTCTCGCGAGACATCATGGAAGCCGCGGACTTGCAGCCAGTTTTATTAACACCTGTTTCAACCTGCCTGTTGCTTGGATGGGACATCTGGGGTCAGAGGCTGGGACGGACTCACAGCAAGCTTGCAGGGTGCAGACTAAAGCCCTGAAGACCTGGCCGGTCACTTGGTCTACTGTAATCCTCAGAACAACCCAGTAGGATTATGATCCCATTTTACAGATGAGGAAACTGAGGCAAACACAATGTGACCAGCTCAAGATAACACAGCATATGTCATCATGAGCCGGTGGCTATTCCCATGGAATCTCTCAAGGGCTGGGCCTGTAGGATTCAAGCCTAGAGTGGGGTGTCAGGGCTAGGGAAAGAGGCACTCAGGGCTGAGTTTTGAAGGATGAGGAGGAGTTTCCCAAGTGGAGAGTGAAAACAGGCATTGCAGGGAGAGGAATGAATCAGCTGGGGCCAGATGGAGGTGGGTGAGGGGTAGTGAAATGCCCAGAGGTGGGGATCCAGTCACATACCCACTGGAGGAAGTACTGGGTAGCGTTCTTCTCATGCCGGTGCTGGCTGGATTCAGGTCATATGCCAGATGCCCCTGCAGCTCCCCCAGGGAGAAGTTGGGTCCTGTTCCTGTCACCACAGGTGCTGCAGAAAATGACAGAGAGGAGAATGAGGGAGGGAGCAAGGTCCACGGCTGCAGTTGGCCCTAGAGGGGTGGGGAGAGTGGGGCAGGCGGTCAGAACGAGAACCCCTTCCCAAATTGGCCTGATTCCTAATTTGGCAGAAACTGGTTTTATTCAATGGATCAGAAGACTAAAGCCATCAAGATAGGCCAAGGTAGTACTGTGAGGCAGAGGCATAGCCAGAGCTGGAGGCCAAGTTTCCCAGTGCTCCCAGAGGCCACGCTCTGCTGATCTGTATGGGAGGGTGATGGTCAGTTAAGCAGAACTCTCTGAGGTGGGATTCAAACGGGGGTGTCTGAGGGAGTGGAATGGGTCCCAGGTATTTTCATAGGGAAGCAAAGTGGGTAGGGGAGGTAGAGCCCTCTGGGGTCCGCTCCTGGGATAGAGTAGGGGAGGCCCCAGGAAGGAGGGATGCTGAGCAGAAGGTTCTTTAGCCCCTCCACCCAGCATGAGCGTCTACTTCCTGGGGAAGAGCGTGTCACCTTGATCTTGGGCTCTTCCTAGGATACTGCCCTTCCTAGGAACCTTGGCTTGGTGGTGATGGGGTGGCTGGAGAAGATGGGGGGGAGGAGGGGGTGGGTTCCTTCCTCCTCCCTGAGCCAGTCTCCTCTCCCTGAGTTCTTCTTGGAGTCTCCTTCTCTCCAATGCCACTCGCCCTATATGAGCCCCTCCCCTCACCAGGTCCCAGCCCAGAGTGGGTGGGGACACTCACTCCGGGACACTTGGATGAGCTCTGTGACACTGAACACACCAGAGGTGATGAAGCTCTCCTGGAAGTCAGTCGTATCTGGAATAGAGAGATAAAGGGGATCAGCGGGTCTGTTTCCCTCCTCGACACCTTGGAGCTGCCCAGACTCTGGGGGCTGGACCCAGCCTGGGCAGTCACCCCGTCCACCCACTGCAGCCCTGCAGTGGGGAGCCAGCCAGCTAAGCCCCGCTGATTCAATGGAGTCCCTCCACTCTCACACAGCTAGAGCACACGTTCTTAGTATCCTCAGCCAGTCTCCCCTTCTCTGGGTGGGTCCCATATCCAGCCTCGCCTTCATGTGGGACTCCCCGTCCTGTAGCAGGCTGCAAGCAGAGGCTGGACCTGGGTTCAAATCTCAGCTCGGCTGCCCACTTGGCTGTGATCTTGTGCAAATCCCTTCCCCTCCCTGAACCTTGATGATCCCTAATCACGAAAATGGGGTCCACACACCCTGTCATCTAGGCAGCTGTGAGATTTGAAACAAACTACATAGGAGGGGTGGGCTTGCTTTCTTTGCATCACTCATCATCCCAGGCAACACTGCTGTTTCATATCCTCCCTCCAGACTGGGAGCTCAAGAAAGGCAGGGATGTCTCTGCCCAAGCCCAGCCATGTTCCCAGTGCCTAGACTAGAGCCTGCCAAATGGGCTCAGAATCACAAGCTGAATGGATGATCCATTTAACAGGTAGCAGTTAAAATCCTGTGTCCCGGGCCGGCCGTGTGGCGTGTTGGTTAAGAGCTGGCTTGGGATGCCAGAGGGCCCAGGTTCGGATCCCACATATGAGGGCCAGTGACACTGCCCTCCACAGCTAAGATGCTGAACAACAGCTCAACCTGGAGCTGGGTTGCCGTG